AAGTTATCGTATTTGCCGAACGATAATATAATGGCAAATGACAAAAACTACAATTTGGACGAATACACCAACGAATTGAAGGCCAGACTATGACGTTCTTTAAGAATACCTAAAAACTCATAGAAACAGAGAAAAACACCTCTAAACAGATAAATCCACTGGGAACATTGTATTGTTGAAAAACGGAAATAAAAGAAAAAAGAACCAAAAACCATATGTTGGGCCTTATGAAATCATTGCACGAAACGGAGTAAACTCCACAATTAGAGTTAACAAGTCTCTAAAAGATTTCACAACAACCAATTGAAACCATATATTCCAAACATGAAAAAACTACAAACCTACTTTGTAAAAACCATATGTAGCAAACTTTATATATACTTATAATTATATAATGTAATGAATATAAGAAGTTAATGTAATATTAAATACTGGGCCTTTAGGTTAAGAAATCTGCCATTTTAAATTTAAAAAACCCGTAAGTTAAGATTTATGCTACATAATATTTAAAAATATAGATACTATTTTATTAGAATATATTAAGCACTAAAAACAAAAACGTGCTTTTCTAATTTTAGCATAACTAATAAAATTTAGTCAGTTTGTTTTGTTATCTTAAAAGTATATCTGTAAGCTTCTGCAAATAATCACCACATTATATTATCAGGACATATAAGCCGCTTTTTTCGTTGCCTTAATCCAATAAAACAACATCCGAATAAAAAAAAAAAAATTCTTAATGTTCTTCTTTTCTAAAATTACCCGTATTATTGGTTAAATAAGAGTTATAAGAGATGATAAGTTTCTGGTGGAAAAGGAGTCAAAAATTCGTGGTCCAGAATTGAATTTTCACAGAAGCCCAGAAGAAGCGGTTGTTTACATGAAATGATTTTTAAATCAAAACGCCATGAACCAATATAAAAATTTTTTAATTTTTTCTAAAAAACATGTATCTAGGTATGTAATGAAAAAAATTCATAAATGTAAAAATAGTCTTCAGTAGATTTTTTCCATTTTATATGCTGCTATTTAACTGGCTTTCTTGGCAACATGGAAAGTTCCAATTGATATTTCCAGTATGACCAATTGACATATCCAGTTATGTTGAAATTTGGCAATACATTCGGTTACAATGACTAAACAATTGGTATATATATTAGAGCTACACGTAAATAATCATTTATTTGCAAAGAATTTGCCTTGCTCTAACACCGATCTTTGAAGAGGAAACACATGTTCAACTGTTTCCGATAAGGCAGAAAATATTTCAAAATACAATTTTTTTTTTACAAAATGGCGGCTTTCGTACCCGCTATATTCTGCACAATATTAATCATTGCATCATTTTTCATGTTCAGGTGGGAACTAACACAACAGTAACAACACAGACGAATTGCGATATTTATAGAGATATATTGAAAGTCAATTAGTATAAAACGATCACTTGAGTTTGATAATGACGCCGTAGAATCGGTAAAGATATCTGATCCAAAATTAAGTATGAGACTCTTGTTATCTACATGGTCACTGATACAAAGACACCTAATACGAAAGTGGAGAGGCGTGGAGGCAAAAAATATGGACACCGCATTAATTATCTAAAACGTAAACAAGAATATCCGTCGATAATTTGCACTGCATTGTTGTCCATATTTAGTAGAGATCTATTTCTTAGCAGAAGCATTACCGGAGAGGAGAAATATATATTTTATAGCAACATCAAAGAATCCAAGCAACGGCAAACTATAAATTTTATTTATCGGGGAAGTAACTTGAGTCACGCTTGACTTTCGGAGGTTTGAATTTTTGTAAGACTGGAATGGCAAATTTTCAGGAAAGATGGAAAAATATACTTGATAATGATATGGATAATAATATAATAAATTAATAAGCAACAACTTGAATTTTACTACAAAATTTTTTCGATTTCAAAATAATTAATTAGTTATGGGCGTCGCTATTGCTTATACGCAGTCTATATATAGCTAGGCACCAACACTAGTTTTGATACCGTTCTTTTATTAATATTTTTACCCATTGAATTTCCAATGTTGTTAATCTTTTCGTCACTCGACAGCTCCATAAACCCCCTTTACTTTATGAACCAGTAAAGAAAAGCAAATATTTATATGCTTTGAACATTTTACGGGATTTCGTTTTCGATAAAACTAAATAATTCTCTCACACACCCTTCCGTAACAATATATAAAACAATAGACGTCACAACTTATATCACAAGATCGGCTGTTAATGGATATTTCGGACACTCCTGGCGAAAAATCTAATTTTTTACACATTAAAATCTGAAGCGCGCCAATCTTTTGGTCATACAAAAGGGACTTCGGGAAAAAATTAATTATTCATCTTTCAATTGGTTGAAATATAAAGGTGGGACGGGGTTTTCAATAAAGCCAGTACCCTTAGATAATAGTGCTTTAAGACTTTGGTCGTAGAATTTATTCCTCTGGCTAAAAAATCAATAATAATAAAAATAATGATAGAAAAATGTATTTCAGATAAAGCTCGGAGCTTCCAGAGCTGTTAGATTTGCGAAACATTTGCGTCGCGAAGATATATGGAATGGTACAGCTAGTTTATGTTGTGGACGTTGAACTCGCCAGCAACTACGATTTCGCTGTCAGGGTATTCGTTAAGAATAGATGATATTGAGTTGGATAGGGTGTTGAAGCCATTAGGGGAAACCATCCTGTCCGCTTCTATAAACGAACACGAAATGCAATGAGTCTCATCGATAGTGAGGTCTATTCAGGATCCGGTAAAGTTGGTGGCACTGGCACGACTATGTCGTTGCAAACATATATCACGCGAACACTGTGTGATGCAAAACTCTGAATAACTTCAAATCTGCATGGATCGTTGCTTTCAATTACCTAGCGCCAGGTATGTGCTCAATCGGGAAGTATTATGCCTTTGCCAATCGGACACTTATCATATAAGACTAAGCTCGATCGCCCCGCTGCACTAGCAAGGTTTGATAAGGTTTAGCAATGAAATTTATGGAGACTGTTCCTATTACCGAGATGGGAACACAAAAGCCCTGAACAACTCTGTACATGGGTTATAATGTAATGTAATAATTTAAGGTAATAAAGAATAATATAAAGTTTATAATGTACTTAGTTGTTTTTATGGTTTTGCTATTGGTGTTTGTTGCAATTGTTTTGTGTTGTTTTCATGTTGCATTCGCTGTTACTTTGCTCTTATTGCCATTGGAACGTTACTATTGTAGCTGTCTTTGGTGTTGATACTGGTGTTATTTATGATGGCTATTGTTAAATAGCACTTGCAGATTTCCGTTGTTGTTGGGCCTGCTGCTATTTGATGGGCTTGTTGATGTTCTTTTGTTGCTTGTTCGGCTGGTATTACTGCTACTGTTGCTGTGTGTTATTATTCGTTGGTACTACTGCTAATGTTGCTCATATCGTCGTTGGTGTTGTTGGTATTGTTGCAGATTTCACTCTTAACGTGCACCCATTCCATTTCTTACTTATATATATGTACATTTAATTTTGATTTTAATTTATTCGTTAAAATTTTACTGAAGTGAAGTTAGCCCCCCAAGATAACCCAAATTTTCGTGGTTCGTGTATTCGCTAAAAATGTCTTTGCTGACTTACAATTTTTTGCGAAACGAATAACAATAAGTAAAATAAGTATTAAAATTAAATATTCTTATCGCACATATAAAACATAATAAGTCGCTAGTTACGAACACAAAACCAAAAATGCTTAGTTATTGCTAGTAAATCTCATGCAAAAGTATGTTACAAATACTGAAAGAATCCAATGTTAAAATCGTATTATAACCTTTTTTAGACTTTAGGATTTTTCTTTCCCTTGATTTAAACTAGATGGGACTAAACATACTTCTTCCCTTACCGCCAGTGCATTTTTAGGAACCTGTGGAATGAAACTTTCTATTCTGAGTTATGCGTCATATGATCTACTGTTTTTTACTAAATATTTTCATGTAGAGTTTAAGGCACTTCCATTTTCCTTATAAAGTATATTTTTGATGCCTTATTACGAAAATGAATGTATAATTGTATAAAGCGAAATATTGTGAGGTATTTAAAAGTCGTCCTTACCTGTCTACATTTTTTTAAATCTTTATTTATGCGAACTATGCGATGCGATCTTGAGAAATTTCAAGTACGGAGTAAATACGGCAATTAGAAAAGGGAACAATCTGTCGTGTTAATAGAAGACTAATAAATGAGAAAGAGTTTTCACATTTAATTGATGTAGCAAAATAGTATTCATCGATTTTTTTAAGAAATATTAAAAATGAAAATTTCTTTTCATGTAACAGCTTTTGCAAATAGTGTTGTATGTGGAGATGGTAAAAATTTTCAATGCGATCTATTATCAAGATAACTCATTTCTGGGTCAAAGCATATCGGATTGCATATTTTATCAAAATATTTCCATAATTGCGACACACAACGTCAGACGTGGCAGACATCAGGCAATAAGGGGCAAATCGATTAAAAAATCGGTTCTAAGTTGAAGGGTATAATAGAAGACAAGTCCATCCTAAGTTTGTCCTAACGTTCTTCGCAAACCTATTTGCTGCATGCCAAAATCGCCAGAAAAAGCCCGTTGGCCAGTTAAAGGCTTTTTTTTAGAAATCTCTACGTGTAAAGGTTCACCCATCTCTGCTTCATATTAAACGGTTTTGTTACAAAAAACGAAATATTAAGTTGCGACCATTCCTTGGAGACATATTTTAATGGAGCCACACTTGCCATCATTTGATAAGAGAATTAAAGCCTTCTTTGAATATCATTACTATCAAATAAATTATGCAGTTTGTGTGTACCATCTTTGCTCCTGTACACTCCGTGGGATATTAATGTGGCAACGTTCAACGAAAAAAAGGGTGGTTTTAACCGAAGGACGGCGTAAATGTAATTGGGGTTGACTTGGATAAAAATTTTGTTTGCTTTGTATTAAATAATGAAGAATACATTTTTATTTTATAATTTTTACATGTTTTTACTGATATCAGTTTTAAATATTTGCAATGCCGTCACAACAGCACAATTTTATGAAACATCTGGGTAGGTTCATAATACAATATACCAATCACTTTATAAACAAAACGTAATAACGAATGGTCTATTATAGAGCGGAGAAGTTCGCAAAAAATTCGCTTAATGATGAGGTGAAATAAAAGTTTTTATTTAAATTGCAAAAGTTGTATAATGTTAACGATAATGTTTACATATAGATCGCTGTTGGAATATGTCAGATATACAATGGAACGACGTGTAAAAAATATTTATATGATCAAAGCGTATTTGTTCCACCGAACCTTTCATTAAATGAACTCGAAGAGAGGCTAAAGGCTGCATATGGAGTTATTAAAGAATCAAAGTAATACGCAAAATTTTACAATTTCCGATATTATTGCAATACGAAATCACTTAATCTTTTTTAAATTTCTGTTTTGCAGAGATATGAGCCCAAACTGTCGTATTTATGCTCTCCCAAGTTTATGTTTTAGTACTTTGCCATTATGCCGGACACCAGAACGAACCAATTTGCTTTATTTTGCCAATAGAGCGGCACACAAGGAAACAAAATCCAGGAAAAATTTTACAATAGATATTCGAACAGACTCTGAGAATCAAATATCAATTAGCCGTGTGAAACGTTTTTTAGAAAAGGCGACGAAAGAACGCAAATTAGTTTTAAAGAGAAAATCTGCCATTACATACGACGATGTTTTTAACATAGACGTTTTTAGTCAATATCCACCGACTAGAGAAACTGAAAATCTACGGCGCATTTGCCGCGACGAATGTGAACTACTTGAGAATGAACTTTGCCAAAAAGAGTACGCTATAGCTAAACGGCATCCGGTTATTGGAGAAAAACTACCATTAGAAGAGTGCTCGCGATTACCTCAACATAGTGACTGTTCCTCAATGGGAATAACGATTGATTTGGACCCAACGCAGTCATGTTATTGGGAAGATGGTTCCGGATATCGCGGAACAATGGCTCAATCTCAAACAGGAAAGATATGTCTACGCTGGTCATGGCTAATGAAGGAAATTTCCGACTATCCAGAATTAGCGGGACAAAACTACTGCCGGTAGATAACAAATGCAACTGCTTCTTAAATTAAAGTACTTAGGAGTACCCTAAGATAACGCAGTATTTCTTATACATACATTATCAATTTAGTTATTTCAGGAATTTATATCAAGGAAAGTTTGACCTATGGAAGCAAGATATGATAACTCCGTAATTGAGAGGGTTTTTGAAATTCACCTAAGCACGCTGCTTTTCTTTCTACAGAAGGCATAGTTTGAACTCATACCAGCTTTTTCTCTTTTATGAAAAAAATTCCCAATGTTCCGAACATGTACTAACATAGAAAGCTTTCCGTAAAGAAACTTAGTAATTCTGCAATTAGCAGATGGTTTGCCCACTTCCTTATACTCAAATCTGTGGCAGTTAAAAATTGTTTTTTTTTTTTTGAACATTCATGTAAATGTAAAAGCCAGCATAAATATATGTGAAGCCACAGCCTATAAATATTTTCCGATATATTTTTCGAATTTTAAAGACTGGAAATCAGAAATTAAAGAAAATGTTAACAATCCGCTCACTATTTAGAAAACTGATGATGCCATATGTCGTTATATAAATTTAAAAACGATATGGGCCGTATCCAATAGGTAAAAGCGCAATTGAAACAAAACTTCGTTTAGAGATAACCGCAAATTTGTCAGTTTAACAACATGTGATGAAACTCAAGTTAAAAGTTAAAAGTACGCTCTATAGAATATTATATTCCAACCTTGAAGATAGCAGAGTAATAATATGAAATCTTCAATATTTCTAACAAACAGCAAATCTCAACAATAGAGTCCTTTACGCAACTACAGTTAGAGTCATAACAGAATAACGACAATTCACAAGAAATCGCCCAAAAAATCTCGAGGCAGAGAGAAAAGACTGCATAAAATCATATTATCACAAGAGCTCTTAATTTATAAAATCACAGGTTCGTTTAATATGCTATAAGCAAGATTTTTTTATTGATTATTTTTTAGGAATCCTGGAAGCGTAGAAGACAAGCCATGGTGTTTCGTAGGCGACAAATCTTTCGAAAAAATTATAGAACCATGCAATATTCCTAAATGCTCGGATAGCATTTGGATGTACATTTTTACAACGTTAGGTGCTCTTTTAAGTTTTCTGTTCATGTTTATTTTCTTGAAGCTACTGAAGCGGAAGAAAAATAATGGAATGACAAATATTCAAAATGTTTGTATTTACAATTTTAAAAAATCTTATAGAGAACAATTCTTCAATTTTCCGTTTTTAATTTCAGATAAATACGCCAAATGCAGACAAAAATATTTACGGAAACTCACAAGTTAACACTTCACTCGAAATGTCGCGAATTGACACCTCAAATAATGTAGACCAATCATGTGTTTTTACCCAGAATATGGAAAGAAGTTCACTGCTGCGAGTGCCACATTACACTTTGGACGATGTGGAATTCGTTGAAGAGCTAGGGGAAGGAGCATTTGGTAAGAGACACAGTGAAAGAAAAAAAGGTATTATTGAATAAGAAAAATATAAATTAATATCGAAGGATACGTATTAGAGTTCTAACATAGAAATTTTCAGATGAAATGACGTAGATCATCAAGTAATAAAATTAGTATATTGTTTATGATGAAAATAGTGGTACATCTACCATATGATTACTAAAATATTTTTGTAAATTTTCTATATTTCTACAGGCAAAGTATATAAAGGCCAGTTAGTTTCAGCTGGAGGTGATAAAACTTTTGTAGCTGTGAAGGCTCTAAAGGAGAATGCCTCATATAAAACGCAACAAGATTTTAGACGAGAAATAGAATTAATTTCGGATCTGAAACACGACAACATTGTATGCATACTGGGAGTAGTTTTAAACAAGGAACCGTTTTGCATGCTGTTTGAATATATGTCCAATGGAGATTTGCACGAATTTCTTATAGCCAATTCGCCAAATGAGAACAAACTTCTTACGCAATTAGAGTTCTTAAAAATAGCTCTACAAATAAGCGAAGGAATGGAATATTTATCTAATCATCATTATGTTCATCGAGATTTAGCCGCACGTAACTGTCTTGTTGGCGATGACTTAATGGTCAAGATATCAGATTTTGGCTTGTCCAGGGATATTTACAGTTCGGATTATTACAGGTTTGTTGGTTTTTGTTTTTTCTGAAATTAAATGACGCTATGTAGCTGTACAGGGTTCAATCAAAGTCATTGCTACCGGTTCGTTGGATGCCGTCTGAATCGATTTTATATGGTAAGTTTACCACTGAAAGCGACGTTTGGTCATTCGGAGTTGTTTTATGGGAAATCTACAGTTACGGCATGCAAGTATGAGCGATAATGGCTTGTAAAAATTGTGAAATAATTTTTATTTCCTTTTCATAGCCATACTTTGGGCATAATAATCAGGAAGTTATAAATTTGGTGAGATCACGGCAACTTTTAAATTGTCCGGAATCCTGTCCAACTGCTGTATATTCGCTAATGATTGAATGCTGGCATGAACAATCTGTCAGGCGACCGTCTTTTGCAGAAATAACGCATCGATTAAAGGTCTGGTATCAAGGGCAACAGAAGCTTGCGCTTACTACAACAAATAATATTTAATATACTTCGACTGATACTTTTTAAAAAACATAGCAACATTAGTTCTACTAAGCTGTATGACTTTTTATACAATAAAATTAGAAGGAAAAAAAAGAAGAACTTTATGCAATTCATGGAATGTCGATGTTATCACTTGGTTACGTACATGAAACAAAACAAAATTTTTTTTTTATATGTAAAGTGTAACTTTAGAGCTTTCCTTTCTCCAATTATGGGCAAGTTCGTCTGCTTTGATATAGGAAATTTATTCGTAGGAAGGCCAACATGCAATGTTTGGCAACTATTTGTAATGTATTCATTAGCTAAACTAAGGCTTTGAATACTTTTTTACACATAATCCGACTACACATAAAGCAGAGGTTTCCAATCTTTATGCTGCTACCTTTCCTCGGAAAATGATAAAAATGTGTCCACATCTTCGCGTTTTCTCTTTATTACAAATTTGATAATTGAGCTCAATATTCTCGGCTTTAAAAGAAGTCAGCCTTCTTCCAAAAGCAAGCCTTTGATTGAAAACACTTTTTTTGAGGCAACATCCTTTTGTCGGTCGGCCATAGTTTTATCACTTTCAATTCAAGCATCACCTGTTTAGCAAAAATGGGCAGCGCTCGCATATAATACCATTTCATATGCATCATACAATATAAATAATTGTACATTGTTGTTATGCAATTCACATTATGCTTTTACCACAGTAATTCCATGTAACAAATAACTATTCTATATCAATTTCATCACAAGATACTGCAAATTAAAATTTATTAATCTGTAAATGCTTATTTCCATTCATTTGCTATAATAAAAAGAAAATTTTGCACTGATCTTTGCCGATAAATATTACAAGTTATCAATCTATTTCTCCAGTCCGACAACAACCCATTTTCAATAGACGTCGTCCATGTGCCAGTGTATCAAATTTTCTCAAAACATCTCCAACATTGCGACCTGCTGGTTGAACAGAAATATACATCGACAGACATAGGCCGATCGTTGTAATCAACTGTGTGTCTATCTTAAGCCGTTTTCGGCATTGGGTAGATAGACACAAACCTAATATATAGCCTTCGCTTCAAAAGATTTAGGATAAAATTATCATTTATGCTTACATTTTTACGTGTTTTAGTTTAGTTTAAAATTGTATCACTATCACTTGCGAAAGTCTAATGGTTTAGAGAAATGTAATAACAATAAGTTATATTTTTAGCTTGGTGGTACCAGAGGTCCATGAAAGATGTTAAAATTTAAATTTATAGTTACCTAAAATAAATAAATTAAAAATACTGAATTTTATACAATTGTGTAAACAATATGAAGTTTTAAACGAAACTCCATATGAAAAAAAGAGTTTCTACAAATGGATTTTTAATCTTCACTTCGCTTCAGTTAAAATTTCTAACCAATCACTAGAGTAGAAAATTCGATTTGCATCTAATATGATCTTCAATCCATATCCTCTATTGCTATGAGAATAGTCGCACAACTGTAATATTCTCTATCTTGATTCTTTCACCATTTTCCGGATCTTGTCTGAATTTATTAACATACTTTCATCTCTTAGGCGCATCAATAAGACGCCCACAATCATTTCAATTCCAAACTCTTTTTTCAATTCTAATAAATTTTTTTTATCTTCAATCCAATTTTTCTGATGCAAAATTCTTACTTTAAAGACACATGTGCAGCACATGTTTCTGAAATTATGTTTCTTATGCAGAAACCCGTTTTTATATGGAAGAGTAAAAAATCATTTCACAGAAACGCTTGTCGAGACCCTATTTGGTAATTATTCATCTGGCATTTTTATATAAATTATCTTAGATTATTATAGATTACATTTTCACACTTTCTTTCGCTTTTCTTTCAATTTCGGGATAGTGTGAATTATCAGTACCACTTCAACTTTGATTTAGAAATTTAAATCAAGAATTGAGGTCTTATCAGAATTGTTTCTCAAATCGATTATGACAATTCAAATGAGAGACATGCGGATTATATATCATGCTGCACGAAATCAAGAAGAAAAGAATTCTGTGTAAGTTTTTGAACACATTTTCGAGCCTTCAAAGCGAAACGGTGAGTGACAAGTACGATATCAACAACTTCAGCTTTTATACTTCTTAGTAAGCTTGTTTGCGTCACAACCTCTATAAAAAAACTTTTAAGATATTCTTTTCCTACCGAAAAACTACTAACATCGGATACATGCCAAAATTTTTCTTGCGTTTACGGGATTCAATAATATTGATCAGCTCTTTTGTAAGGTAATGTGTATTCTAAAAATAGCGCTTTTGAACGTGTTATATTTATAATGTTATAACAGTTATTCAAGTTACATTAGGTACTTGTTACATAATTAGTTGCTAAGTGCGTACCTGTGATTCCCTTCTAGACGCATTGGGACTCTCTTGAGGAAGCATCGTTTGTTTTCTTTCCTCTGGCGGTTTAAAGTTATGAACTAATGATCCTTTAATTATGTTAAGAGAATTTCCTGCAATAAAAGAAATAATGTCTACGTAGAGAAATGCATTTATATTTAGGTAAGTAAATAAAAAACTTCATAACATTAAGTTCGTACCGCTAAATTGCGTCTTTTAGAATAATGCAGATTTTATTTACTATTCTTAGGCCATCTATTTATAAATTACTTACAGGCCCTTATATTTACAACACTTTAATTTTTCTTTAATGCCTGCTCTTGTCGGTGCGAATATTGCTATTTAACTCTCTTGACTCGACTCAAATTGACCTTCCGCAAATGTTCTACTTATATACCTTTTCGCAAGCAGGTTACCACTACATAAATTCATCGGGGCACTCTTGTGTTAATTTCTTTATCCGCTAAATTCTTCCTAATTGCAGCATGACGCAGATAAAGCCTCACGAAGTGGCTTTCCCTTTCTTTTCAATTCTTTTTGTTAGGATATCAACTAACTTTCATGAAAGCTCAAATCATCAAATATGTGATTTTCGTAACACTATTGAACCCCAATGGATTTCTGGACTAAAAACTAAATTAAATGAATTTCGCAACTTTTTTTGAAGTCGGCTTAAAACCAGTAAATACATTTTGTAGCGAATGAGAGAAACGGACGGTGCATGATCTACCTATAATTGGCATACTTTTGGACCATTTCCGGATGCTTTACATCAACTAAGCGCTTTAATTTCTTTACTTGGGTAATAGCAGAGGACACGATGACTAATTCCCTTGTATAAAGTGACATCGAATTTTTATCGAATTCCGACTTGTTTTCAAAATGCTTACGTTTCACTAAATTAACAAAAATCGTAACTTTTTTATTTTAGATATGTGTAAACGGTGACTTCTTGAACTCATCTCAGCATGGCTTTGAAGGATTAATATTACTAAAACAGCTTGGCTCTAAGATCATCTTTTGTAGAGATACACCCTCCTTACCACTTTAAATTTTAATACAACTTTTTTTGCTAAAATAGAGCTTATAACCTTTGTAGCTAATCTTCAATATTTTTACTACTTCTTCAAAAATGTATTTTTCCAATAACAACAACAACGTAGTACAACTTCATTGGAGACATTCGTTGCCATATGCGTATATACATACTTAATCGGTGTGCTATCTTTTTCTTGCCGTAGTTTGTTCTGCTTGTGAAAGTGCTTAAATATCGTACAAAAAAAAACGAAAGAAAATTGTGTTCATCTTATAACGAATTTAGAATTTGCATCTCCCTAAACAAATATATGGGTTAGCCAATTTTGTTAATTGTTTGTTAATTGCCGTATTAAATTAAAATATGTGTTTTTACTAAATTTTACATTAATTTAAAATTAATAACTTTGTATGTGGAAGTCAACTAAAAACGCATTCTATATTAGTTTTGTAACTGTTACGTTTCAAAAGCTGCGGACATTTTTATATGCACAATGTTCTTCGTTATGTACACACCGCAGGCATTTTATATTTTTTACTTTTGGATTTGGAATGCTATACAATCCAGAAAATATATAATATTGTCAAAAATGTACGTACTATATTTACTTTTTCTAGTTCGTGTGAAGTAGAAGCAGACTGGTAACTAATGATATTTACCGCATCTTTGGTTTTTTATTTTTGAACCTTACGGCACCTGCGGTAAAAATATATTAAAACCCATACTCCGACCAACTTCCCGGAGACACCACAAGTCAGAAGTTATTTGTTTGTTAACAGTTTTCGTAATTTAAAAGCATTTTTATACCTACCGCCGAAGAAAAAGGAGTTATATTCATTTTGTCGAAATATTTGCAGTACGCAGTGAATGTTGTTTGTTTTCTAACAATATTGATATTGGAGCATTTTGTTATGACTACTGTATCGTAATATTAAATTTCGCTCAAAATTACAAAAACTGTAGCAAGAAAACATATTTTTGTTTCCTGTTGGTTTGTGCAAACGCAGGCAGAACAAAGGAAGACCCGAGATACAATCTCCGAGATAGTATGCCTATATCCATCAATGTGGGGAAATAAGACATTGCAAGCAATAATAGCATTAAAGCGTGAACTTTTACCAAATACCAAAAAGGGTGAAACCATGTACACATTCCTGATGCTTTACCTGCCTCATGCAGTTGGCGATTGTCCAGGGGATTAACCACAATTCGCAGAATATTTCGCGGGAAAAGGTTATTAGCACAAAAATGTCACAATGAAATTAAGTGCTGTTGCATAGAAGGGTCTACATGCAGAATGTGTGTGAAATGCAAAACCAGTCGAATCAAGAGAGTTGAATCATGATATTGAAACGAACAAGCCCCGAAACAGCGTCATTGCAGGCGTACGTTCCTGTAAATAATTTGTAAATAGATCTCCTAAGAATTGTAAATAAAACCTACACTATTCCTACAATACGAACTTAATCTCAAAAGGGATTGGATGAGAACCTAAAATAGCTGCGGGCAGCCTTAGGTTACAATATACGTACACGGCTTATGAGTTCTTTGATACCTATTTGTATTCATTACAAATATGAAAAGTTAATAAAACTTTTATGATAAGTATAACATTATAGATATGTCACGAGCAATATAATTTTGCCCATTTTTCTGTCAAAAATGAAAATATATTCGACTTACCATCCACTTTAGCTTTATTATAAGCAAACGGACTATTGGATAAATTTTTGAGTACTTTATTGAAAAGATCCACATTTGTTCTTGTAACTTCCTTCTCATGTTCTAGAAATTTTATTATTGACGCATTAATGCGATAGAACACTTCAAGCGCTTCAACAGAAAGCGTTGTTGGATTGCTGTGATTAAGTTTTATAGGATACGTTGCATTGTTTTCGTAAAGGTAGTTGGCAGCCTGCAAAATGATATAATAATAATTGAATTTATAACTACGGGAAATTTGTATAATAATGTTACCATTAAATAGTGATTTAAATAGACTTTTGGTTCTTCTTTGCGTTTTTCTGATATCTTCCCTAACATATACTGGCACAACCATTTTTCGTCATTGGCATCGGCATTCTCTTCGGGACATGCTGTTGTGTTTTGTAAAGACGTGGCATAAGAAAAACAGTTGAATGCTATATTTAACATTCTGGTTTTCTTTTCTTCAACATTTGAAAACCTAAAAAAAAGCCAAATCGTTTTTTGTTACGTGATAAGGCTGCCCTCTGTTCTATACGTACTTTTCCATCGAAAGATTTTCCGAGTCGTGCTTTAAATAACGTGAAAAATATGAGTGAATAGTATAAGTGAAAGAGCCGTACTCTATCCAAAGCAGAGCCTGATAACGGTTTAAATTAACACAACATTCGAAACAACGCAAAACCTCTTCACATTCTTCCCATAAAATTACGGGACTGTGAGAAAAATCAAATAAATAAATTGATTCATTTTAAGAACTTCTTCACATACCTAATTGCGCCTAATCCATTTAATTTAGTTTCTATTTTACTAGCCTTTGATAAAGCAATTCCAGCCCAAGAATCAAATCTAACAGACGATACTGCCAAATCAAGAATGTAGTATTTGATGGCTTTGAAAAAATCACGGCTTTTAAAGTAAAAATCGGCCAGCAAATAAAATATGCTATTAATCTTGTAAGGCCACTTAAACACTTTCGTCTCTTCCGGCAAGCTTTCTAATTGGCCTTCAATAAACTTTGTAATATGCTCAACAGATTCCGATAAATCTAAATCCTGCGGCATCAATGATATAATTTTTAATAACAGTTGTTCCATATCTGACGATATAGATTCCAGTTTATATGAATTGAATTCTGGCAGTTTTTCTGGGCGATATAGATCAAACACTTGCACAGCTCTTAGCCAGTTAAGCTTCACTTGAGTGGCTTCATGATCTTCCAAATGCCTACATCTAGCCTTTTTTTGCGGGTACTTAAATAAGCAATAGGTCACCTATAATATAAAAAATTCTGATTTCCTTCAAATTGTTGTCTAATTTATTCAATTACCTGTTCGATGTGTTCGTACAACAAATCTCTGCATCCATCGTATATTGGAGCTTTAAGATTCAATGCAATAGCATCTAATATGTATTGCAGAAATTCTCCGTTATCTTTTGAACACCATTGTCTTTTGCCTAAAAATTCATGTGCTGTAAATAATATCGAGAATGATTTTGGAATCAATTCGTTAGCGTCTTCACTTTCGTTAGGTGCTACGTTGAAAATATTAGGACTGTCGTTCTCATCCCTATAAAAAACAAGAAAAATTCAAAAATTTTGAGACGACATATCCATCCAGCCAGAGACACAGATATGAGAAAAATTTTATATTGATGCAAGCAACGATTTTGAATAGATTAGAATCGTAAAAATGTGGATGTCGCATGGACGTTTCACATTTATAACTTAGTACTGAATGTACGCGCATGAAATTTTATCTAAATTTATTGGTAACAGGGCTCACTTTGATACCAAAAAAATAGAAGCACATCTCTTGCAATCTTTGCTTACTAAATAAAACATTGTTTTGGTACCTTAACAGAATTTGATGTAAAACTACCCAAAGTCGTTTAAAATCCAGTTCCTGTCCTTGAGTGTTGTTCTTCTCGAATATTCCATCAAGATAAAAAACTAGGATACTTATAATGTTTTGAACTAACCGAGATAAGCCGTCATCGCTCAAATGAGTTACTGTTAAAAATTATTTCTTTTATTAAGCATAAAAATTATTTTAATAAAGCCTGCTATTATTTCTTACCAGCGTGAAAACCTTCATTTAATATAATCACTTCAATATACGATATAACAAAATTATGCAATTCAGCTAATTGCTTTTGTCTAGATGCTCTTGTTTCAGCCAAAAGATTAGAAATTATGTAATGAAGGCACTTCTCTGACCATATGAAGCAATTCTGAAAAAAAGCATAAAAATTTTTAATAAATTTTATTTGCTTTAGTTCTAGAACCTTCCCAAGTTTATCTCTTTTTAATTTATTTTTTCTTTTACAATATGACAAATTCAAAATTAAATCAAAAAATGACAAAAAGCAAGAAACTAAAATAGTTACATACTACATTATACATTCCTCTCCTCCTACAAACGAAATTAATTGCGGATATTCGGATTTGGTTTTAGGTATCAAGTGTTTAGGTAATATTTCCGGGACTGCAGGTTGCAGTCTGTACGTATGTCCTTTTTTGTTTGTATTTTACACTATATCAGACTTTCTTCAATAACTTTGAAACGTAAAGACATTGTTTGACATGTTTACTCAAAATTTGTTAAATTTTTTGTAACATTTAAATTAGACAACGGATCGCGATGATGGTCAATGTATCACTTGCTATTTTTGAAATTTTTTTTCAACTTTTGCAGGAAGTGGTCATGACATCCGGTAACCGACAATTATCTCGACATATCATTTCAGCGGAAGTGGTAGAGATAATATACTCGGTTCGTAAGCTGCACGAAGTCCCATTGGAACTAATGATAGTTTTTCACTCTAATGCTAGCTAGGATTCAACAATCCTTGCTTTTAGTTGCCTAAGGAAACGCTCTACCATACCACTGCTTTGAAGGTCAACGGAGGATAAACAATGTCTATGTGTTTGTATGTATTGGCATTTGCTTTTGAAAATTTCTACGTTATGTGTCGGTAGATCAGTATGTCTCGAGATTTTTGACATGAAATACGTTGGTTTTCATTCCCCGGCCAAGTATACCTAGCAGCTATTAATCTCCCAGTAGCTTACGGCACGTTTTCTCGTTTCAGATTAAATCCTTCTTTTATTCGTTGTTTGATATTTGGGTGACAATGTTACAATTCAAATCCTTTCCAAATGCTCCGAACAAAGCCCTCGCAAGCACGGTAGATTCAACTCTGATGTATTAAACATCATTGGGATATTGAACAATATATTCGAATTGTCCTGTGATAATACGTTTTGAAACTTTTTAATTGTCTTTTGAAATTGTAGCTTTTTTTTTCTTTTTATGCTGAAAATGTGTTATCGGGGCTTGTAGCAAAATTGGTCCAAGTGAATTCAAATAGTGGCCATGGACGTTTAAAAAAAATTGGAGAACTTCGCATCATTTAAGACAAACAATACAAACAACTAATTATTTCCACATATGTTGACATATCTTAACAATTAAAACAAGTTTATGCTTCTACATCATTCACCTTCAAAAATCACGAAAAGATGATCGCTTCCTTCAACGTATGATTACTCAAACACGCTGGCATGTGCTTTTGAACCTAATCAATAATTCAATTTAATATTTGATATGCTATCATGAATCGACTCATTGCAACAGTGAAAAGACGTATTTGAGAGTTTCTCTTATATGAAAGATTCGTTATTATAGCACTTTTTCTTAAAGTTGTTGTACAAAAACTATAATAAAAATATATATTACCGCTAACGTTAACTTTTCTTTTGATCACCCTGCAATGTCCATTTTGCTATTGTGTTTGCACACCTATTCAAAAATAATTCTAAAATTCAGTTGGTTCTAGAAACCTGTAAAAACTTTCAATTGCAAATGCGTATTTTGAACCACAGAACTTTTAAACCTTACGATTATCATGTCTCTTGAAGTTGTCCTTCCGAGAGAACTTTGATACACAGATGATAAGACCTATTTACAAACGCTTATATAGCGAAACATTTTTACATATATATTTACCTCGTAAGAACATGTGTTCCAAAACGACTGCAGAAGTATCTGTATTTGTACACAGAAATCTTTAAACCAAAATTCATTTTCATAACTATTATTACTTGACTCTATAGCTTTCGTAATAATTTCAGCAAGTTGTTGCCATTCTCCATTTTCAAACAATTTCGGAATCCGATTAGCATCTATTTGTCTAAAATACAATTTGAACTTTAAATTTTAATTGTCAAACAATAGCGTTTTATATAATAATACCGTTGAAAATCATTTTGTAGCCTATCGATATAATCCTTGTTTAAGCAAATATTGCTAAGGTTTGGCAAATGCAAAACATACGGTTCCTCGTCATACGCCGACATAATTTGTGAAATTTGCTGCAAACATGCCAGACATTGTTTGTAATAACCACTGGCATTCAGACGTAAGTATTCCAAATATACTAAACGTAATTCGAAAATATAACGAAGATTGATCTCTATTATCTGACAATTTCCTAGATTAAATATGAGATGCTTGAAAAGATTTTTCCACCTAAAAATAAGTGAATAACAAAAATGTTTTTGATTTATTTCGACTATACACTTCGCTAATGCTAGTAAATTACCTGTCATTAAGCCTGAAATCTATTTCCAAAAAGAAAACACAAATTCTGAATGAAGCTTCAAAGTTCTCTGAAGTTAACTGATTCCAAGTGGATAAATCAAAGTGAGCCCTAAATTGAAATAAAAGTTATATTTATCTTAGAGTGTGAAGTCTTGTACATAACTTATAAGATAAATAAGCATAAATTTTTATTAAGATTCGACAATCAATAAGTGCCTTTCAATTTTCAGGATCCTGTTAATTTGTGTCAAAGGTTAGAAATCTTTTGAAAATTTTTAGTTTTCTTGAAGCTGCTTGAATTTTTCAGTATCATGAGAATCTCCTTTAGGTGCATCCTTCCAACGCGCATATAACAATGTGTCAAAAATTTATTTGCTACATTTTCCCGAACTTTCGAAGAAACGAAACTAATGAAGAGGTACATACTTTATTGAATTACTAATGCCCATTTCTTAATGTTCTAATCTCCAATAATATATAAGATGACAAGTTAAAACATTATACTCGTGTGAGGCGAGTTTTTAAATGCCGTACACCATTCCCCTTAATGTCTTCATCATAAGACGGCATTGTAAATTGTTTCTATAAGTGAACGGATACATAAAGTAGTTAATGTGATTCATACTTAACACAATAAATATTTAAATTAAATCGGTACTTCCGAACCAATTTTAAACAGAAAGTACAGAAAGTTTATTTTTGTAAGGACTTCAAATAGTCCGATGACTTTTGATATTATTTTTCCCAAATTTTTACGGCGAAACCTTAAATAAATGAACTTTTTCCGCCGACTTTTTTAAAGTAAACGGCAATGGTCGTAAAAATGCGTCAGTCCAATGTATGTTTAATAACGTTTATCGTTCGTTTCGTCAAATTTTATCAAAATATCTCGCTAATTAAGAGATTGAACGTTGACATGTCTGCAGATCGACAGGAGTACTGAAATCAATACTCGGAATGGTGTCAAATCAATTTTTTTTGTCAAAAGATGGGCCTAAATAATCTATATTGAAACCGAACGCAACTGCAACCAAAAATATTGCTACTATTAAAAATGTTATTACAAATATTTTTTAGTGAGCATAATAATTATATTAAGTTTAAAAAGACGCCATCAACAAACATAATTTGCTGATATGTTTAAACATTTACATAAAATCTCTTACGTATATATTTCAAATATATCCAAATACAGATCTTTTACTGGATCTGGAATTTTTATATTCCAATATAACGACACACACTTCAACCAGTTGAAGACGAGATGCATTAAATCCGTCGGCTGTTGCTGAAATATTAATAGGAAAATTAAATGTCAGTTCACAGAATAATTGAATGAATGAAAATATCATGTTGAGTCTAAAATAAGATATTAAAACGTATTTTTAAAGCTAAAGAGTTATTAAACGATTTACATGGAATTTTTTTAAAAAGTGTTTAAACTCATCTTGAGTTCTTGTTTGAAATGTTTCTTCCGTGTAAACAATACTGCAATGCCTACAGCGAAACGCAGTAATTTGTTTTCCAATTTCCTCCGCGCTATCCCGAAATGGCCAATTATTCAAGGATATTTTTCTGAAAAGTTACGTAAAAATATCAAAGTAGTTATTATTTATTTTGATCAACAATTTTATTTTGCACTCACTTTGTATGCTTTGAAAATAGTTTCCGTAAATAATTATTAAGGCTTACGTCAATTTCATCACGCTCGGGTTTCTTGCGTGATGCGTATCTTCGACTTTTATGCCAGCCCCATTGTTCAAGAAAATGTAGATCACTACAGCGACGCCTTTTTTTGTTTGTTTCGCAACCATCAGATTTAGCATTTGAATCCGAATCATCATTGTTATTATCGTTTGCAATTTGTATATCAAATTGCTCCGAAACAGCGTCATCTAATTCAATTTCATTTAGTTGAACAGAATTTTGCGCTAATAAAGCAACCTTCGGTGCATCCGAACTAATGCAGTGCACACCTCTAACTACATCCCCTTGATGATCAACATGCATAGGTTCACTTATTAGAATATCCTCCAAATTAAACATAAAAAACGAACTTTTTCTTTCAGAATACGTATCCTTTATAAATTGCCCAATTGACAACCAACTCAAGACTTTTGTTTTATGTGATTGTAATTTTACAAGGGAATTTTCGATATCATCGTTAGGATTTTCTATGCGTAACTCTGCTGGCTTCAGCATTTCGTAATCTCGTAAATGCGTACCTATTATTGGCAAGCAAGAGGTATCATAACTGAGTAAACGGCCTTTAAAAATTGACGCAATTTCTTGATACACTTGCAATGCGTTATTAGAATGGGGATTTTGATGTAACATTTTTGTGGCCCAATTAAAAGCTCCTAACATATTATTTCTTCGGCAAAGCGTCTGTAGCATGCCTTCCTCGGCAAGCCAGTGGGTAGAATTACGGACCAAACAAGTTTCAAAAGCATATTCAGCCAAATCTAGCACACCTAATTTGAGCGCCAGTTGCCCAAATTTATGTAAAGTGAACACATCTGAATCATCTATCAGAACTGCCTAAAAAGCAAAAATTGCTTTATCAATAAATTCCCAATGTTACGAAAAAAAGTGCCCTACTTACGAGTATGTAATGCTGAAGAGCCAATTCATCATCACCTTTTTCCTCCAATAAAGCAGCGATGTGTTTGTGACTGTTGTATCTAATGATTCCAAGTTTATCATTACTACTTTCAGCCAAATTCTACAAGAAAGCAATTTTATATTAATAGTAGGTGCTGACATATTGAAATGAAACTCTTTCTGCGCAACACTGCTCTGTTCAACAGCAGAGGCATCCGATTACCTCGAGGTAATCGTAGTTATTTGGCTTATCTTTATTTGTATATTATACGAGATTGCATTAGTTTTATTGAAAGTCGCTCACCTCGTTTAAAACTTGCGTTTTAAGCAAATCTTTCAGCAACCGCAAACACAAATCTATTTTTCCTTTTGAGTTAAGTTTTATAGCACGAACATACTCAGCCTCAACTACGGTCTCCTAAGAATAATCGTTCAAAATGCAAAATGAAGATAAAAACTTTAAAGAGTATACCTGAGCTTCTTTAGTTAATTCAACTTCTTCTTCCGACACCTCTTCAGGGCCGTCATTATTTAAAGCAACAATTTTAATCATGTCTTTATTTATTTATTTTGGAGACGATGAAGGTTATTGGAGTAAGCGGAAACTTATAGCTTAACTTACGAATTTTATACATGTTTATCCTAACATTAATATTCACTTTCAGGCTCCACCTAAGATCAAATGTAGATTATTTATCCACTACAATATTAAGCCCCCATTAGTGAATAAGGTAAGGTTTTATATACCTTACGGTAACGCATTATGCTGCCAGACTTAACAATGCCTTCTTGCTACTCCACGATTTTTTTACCGATTATAGTATTTCACTTCTAATACAAAACTCTACTTTATGAAATTTACGTTTTATTCCACTCAGTGCATTTACAAAAAGGAGTAAAGTTTCAAAAACTCAAAAACTATAATCAGATCTCTATGTCGTTTAATTACGCGCACGATTTTATTAACTAGCCACTTTTCTTTGCTCTTCTTATGACGATTAATCTACAGATGTAACATTTCTGAGCTAAACAAATTTGTTCGACAATCAATAGACGATTTTCGAATATTGAAAACACATGTCATTTGTCGAAATCGCACGAAGCTTTCTTCTGACTTTCCGACTAAATTTGATTTTTCTTACAATATTTTCGGCGAATTACGAAGACAGAAAGTGTTTGTACTTATCACATAATATTCTTCTGCACATTTTTTTTCTAAAAAATTCATTAATGTTATATTTCTGGTATAAATCATTATTTTTTTTTTTTTTTTTTTTGGTATGTTGAACAGAGATGGACTAAGCCAATAGATTTGTGGCTTATATGTCCAAATAATAAACTGTTGTAATTTTTAGTCACGATTATGTATAAAACGTAACAAAAAAAAAAAAAGAGCGGCAGTAATAACTGGAGGGAGCATGTTAAATGTAATTGTGTGTCTGTGTGTGTAAGTGTGCTTGTTGAGTTCTTGAAAGTCAGACAGTGTTGCAAACTTTGGCTGAAAACGAAAAGGAATGTTATGGTAATTGAAAATGATTGAACGCAAAAAAAAAAAAGGAAAGAGGAGGAAAAAGAAAAATTCTAAAAGGATAAATTGGCTTTTCTAATAAAGCAAGTTAGTTCCCCGAGATGACGTACATTTTTTGCTGCAACGAGATCGAGGAGACAGCCATATAACTTGAAGAAGCTAATGGAATCTCTAATGCCATCAAGCCTGTGACATCTGAAGATTAGATGCTCAGCAGACTCAACAACATTGCAAACTTCACAAACATCACATGGTATAGCGCGAATCACTTTCAAATAAACTTTGTCATAAGTATGACCACTCATGAGTCTATAAAGAATTTTGATTTCCCAGGAATTAAAAGAAGATACAAAAAAGGGTTTGAATTGAAATGTGGGATTTAATTTATAGAAAAGGCGATTGGATTTGACGCGCGCGATTTCTTTAAATTCGTCGTTTAGCTGTTGAAGGATGTGGTTGCGAATTGCCCGTGTTGCTTCATTGGGAGTGTATTTGATGGACAAAATTGTCCCATCAACACGAGCTCTCCCTGCATGAAAGTCGGCTTTTACATTTAAAAAAAAAGCCGCAGTGACCAGGTACCCAAACGAGGTGACACTCATGCACTTGAGATCCATGCAACATCTTATGAATATCAAACACATATTGATTTTCTGCATCTCTTTTATTTATTAGAAGTAGAGCTGACCTGTTGTCAGAAAAAATAACAAACCTTCTGATACCAACCTTAATAGCATGTCGAATGGCGACCAAGTCGAGGAAAGTTCCTGTTCAACTTTAACTCGATGTACTGTTTCAGATAGACGTTTCACGTCCGAGAAGCCAGATACATTATGTCCGACGGAACCGTCGGTGGCATATATATCGTAGCCGTTGTTGTAATACAAAAGGAGCTTTTCTTGGCATAACAACCTCGTACAAGAGAAGTTGACATTTTGTTTTGAGGTAGAGATCGGTTCGAGAATGTTCATGAAGACTCTGCATTTGCTGGTAATGAAATTCAAGGGGGAAATTGAATCTAACTTATCAAAAATATGACGAAGTTTTTGATAGCAAAAAGTATAGCTGCAAGTGACAGTATCACTGAGAGATAAAATTTCCTGAAAAAAGAAAGGATTTATCATCTTGACTTTAATTAACTCTTTGGCAGTGCAAAAAAGGGCTCTTTCGGATACTGGCCATTCACCAGATATAACATTGAGAATATGTTGAGGAGTTGAGGGGGTCAGTCCAGTACAACGCTTCAACATTCGGTTTTCAAATGCTTGTGTACGTTTTTCAATATATTTTGGGAAATTGCAACATATGGAATGTCCAAATTCAATTTTGGACCTGACTAGAGATTTGTAAACGGTCAAAGCATTTTTGGGAGGCAAGCCTGTCTGATTGTTTGTCATGAGTTTGATGATGTTGCATCCAGACTGACAATCTTTGAACGCCTTTTCATAGTGCCCACGAAGGGTTAAGCTGTCATTTAAAATTCTCCCAAGAAATCGAAGAGATTTTACCTGATTAACTTGGGTACCTTTGATAAGAAGTCTGATTTCGCGTTTAGAACCTTTGGCAAACTAGATAGTGTTTGTCTTGCTGGGGTTAAAATATTAATTAAGATCAGCGCATGCATCGAACAACAAGTTCGCTTTCATCGAGAGGTTATTGACAGCTGCTGGAAAAGATGAGTCCGCAGATACGATTAGAAAATCGTCTGCATATTGAAAAATGTGAGTTTTGTCATCTTGAAGATCATGCAAAGAAGCTGCGTATAAATTGAAGAGTATGGGGCTTAAGCAACTGCCTTGTGGGATACCACCGCATATTTCAACTTTTTCGGTACCCATCACCAACACACGCTTGGATAAAAAATTAAGTATCCACAGCGGCATTTGAAGAGGAATCGAAAAGTTTAGGAGAATTCTACCGAGCTTAATCAAGTTGACACAGTCATAGGCTTTGCAGATGTCCAGGGAGAGCATGACAACCATTTTCCCTGCTTTTTTTAAGCTGGCTATGAGAAAACACAGTTACATTAACGCACATATTCGTAGATTTGCGTTTTTGATAGGCGTAAGACCGAGCTGGAATAATGTTCTTAGTTTTCAGGAAAGCAGTTAGTCTCTCCTTAACCATGAGGTTGATGGTCTTTATGAATACAGATATTAGTGAAATTGGTCTGAAGCTACTTAAATCATTTAAGTCTTTACCTGGCTTGGGAATGGGAACTATTTTGATGCAACGCAAATCAAAGGGTATAAAGTTGGTGGACCAGCAGTTGTTAATTGCATGCAAAAGCATGCTAAAGCTTCCTCCAGACAGTGCTGTGAGCATGTCATACTTGACTCCATCACAACCTGCAGCAGTAGCTCTCTTTCTGAAATGTAAAACATACATTAGCTCATGCAATGAAAAGGGTGTGTTACTGATACTACTAAAAGGAATTGAAGGCATTGTAATAGGATTAACAATTGGAATGTAGCTCTTGAGCATATCTAAGTATTTTTTATTATCACGGTCATTCCATACAGCACAACCGCTTAATTTTCGACTAGAATGTCGATGACCATTGATATAATTCCAGAAGCAACGTGGGTTGCCGTTACCACATAACTCTTTAATAGCGATGGCTCTATGTGCCCTTTTCGCCTTTCTAACTGCAGACCTCCATTCTTTCAGTATTTTCATATATTCAATGTAGTTGGCTGGATTGGCATATTTACTCATTTTTTTTCTTGCAGCTTGGTATTTGCGGAAAAGTGTTGACAGGGAAGGATTCCACCAAGGTTTAGGTTAGAAGGACTCAATGTCAGGAAAGTTGGTTCTAGCAGACCTGATCACAGACTGAAAGACACTTTGAATTGATGATAAATCAGAAGGGAGATCAACTTTAGACAGACGGTCCATAAGGAAGTTGCATGAAATGAAATTTTCTATTTTCTTGACGGAATTGTTACAACTGTGGAATATAATGGGGGAGTGCTGACTTTTGCCAATGGAAACATTGGACGTGTTTCAGTTGAAAGATAAAATAGTTGAGTTCGACAAAGTTAGATCCAAGACACTGCTCGCCGTGCGACCGCTCCGGTTACAGTGAAAGGTAGTATTGCCGTTATTTAAGACACTGAAACTGCTGGAATTGATGGCATTTACCAGGATTTTGCCTTTGTTAGTAGAGACTTGATCGCCATACAGGCGGTGTCTTGCATTGAAATCTCCAGCTAGAATCACATTTTGTTCACCGTCAAGAAAGTCGCATAATCTCTGAATCTCATCACGAAAGGTTTGCACATCGAGACTGGGTGGAAAGTAGCATGAGACTATGAAAAGATTCGGTTTCAGGTTGATGGTTTTGATGATGATGATGTCAACGGCAGAGTTATAGGGAATACGTCTGAAATTGACACCTTTCTTAATTAATATACTAACACCACCATAGCCATCATTTCGGCATTTGGTGGCTGAGGCATAATTCGAAACTTTAACTTCGAAACAGTTTTCATCTTTCAGAAAAACTTCACTTAAGATACAAAACTCAATCTTGTTTGAGTTTAAGTAAAAATCTAGAAAAGATAGGTTACGTCGGACACTTTTAATAGTACATTGTAAAAAGGATATCATGTTGAAACTTGAGAAAGAACCCCAGCGGATTTCCTCGCAGTACTGGATGCTCGAACGGGGCAAGAAATAGCACAGACAGACATTGTTTCTTCAAATTCTTTAATAAGATTATGAGGGATCATCGGACGGATACTTTCTTGAATCGTGAGAATTAATCTTTCAAGCAAATAGTTGTTTGAAATTTTCGGTCCAAGAAGGCTTGTTCCAGACGACTTGGGCGGTGTATTGGGAGAAGGCTTGGTGGGTGATTTGATAAGAGATTTGGAGGGAACCAATTTCTTTTTGACGACAGCATTGTATTTATTTTTGGTTAAGATTTTGTTGGCATTTTGATTATCATCCTTGGTCGAAATTGCGGACGTGTTCCCCAGGGGAGGGAAATTGCCGTCATAAGTGTTGTCATCGAGACATTCGAAATAATTTTCGGAAAAATTCTCTTTGACCTCTTTATACGAAAGATTTTTAATCGTCATTATCCTGTTGATGTTTAATTCAATTTCCCTATTAGGGCAACACTTATTGAGAGCGTTATGCTTACCTGAGCCACATGACAAGCACTTCATCGCCTCACAATTTACACATTTCGGAGACTTTTCACAGTTAAAGCACTTGCTCTCTTTAGCTTTGCAAAATTTAGATACGTGACCGTATCTGCCACACTTAAAGCACTGTTTTAAAGTGGGTACAAAGTATTCGACCGGCAGATTACAATAGTTAAATTTTATTGCCTTAGGGAGGGCTCTCCCTTTGAAGTCAATTTTGATGCTGGTTGTGGGAATCCACTCGTCTTTGTTGTTGGAATTTCTTCTTTGGAAACGGACAGCGGACTTAATCGGAATATCGGATATGGCGTTTTTAATTCTATCATCGACACTATATGTGCTTGGGATGTTTCGAATAACTCCAAATCTCTCAGTGAACGACCTCGGTATGTACGCTTTTAAATTCTTTTTATTAAATTCATTATTCATAACAAAATTGTTGGCATTGGCAGCGGAGCTGAAAAGCAGTTTGACTCTACCCCTGCTGACAACTTTTATTTCTTTCAAGCCGTACATACCGAAATCCTTCAAGTAATCATAGAAATAGAGTTAATATTGATGCGATTTCCTTCTGCGCGGACGCAAACAAAAACGACAAAATTGCAGTTGGAAAGGCAATCGTACAAATTAATCTCGAGATTTGGGGCGGCTGCGGCACCCAAATCAGAGGGCTTGTCGGTAGCCTGTTTACTAGGCGGAATTAAAACGTTTGCGTTAGCCCCTCCGTTATCAGATAAAAGAATATTATTCTCTCCCATTTTCGATCTCTTGGTGTGCCCAGTGGCGTTCATGTAAAAATTTTCAAAACAGTCTCTATTAGTAGTTATAAGATCAGACCCAGTCTCCATGGGGAAACGGGCTGATGTTGTTTTGGTTGTTATCACAGGGAACACAAAAAGAAAAAATCACAAAGAAAAAACAAGAAATAATAATTGAATATATGTATTGCTTCTTAATTTTTCTCTCACGAGAGATTCCTCCTCCTTCCCTCCTTTTCCTTCTTTAAAATTGTTTTCTTTGGTTATTTTATTACTTTATTAAACCTCTTTTCCTTTTTTCAAATATTTAAAATCTCTTTCTTTTTCTTTTTCCACTAACACCGGTAAACACAAAAATTATCCAGCTGCCGTTTGCGGAGATGACTTGTTGTGTCAAGTGTGAATGAAATGCGGATGCATAAATCATTACGACAAAGCTTTTATCTAAAAACAATTTGTTTGATTAATTACAAAAAAAACTATTTTTGTGGCTGTATATGCTGTGTATTGGATTTTGTTGGTGCAACAGCACAGTACTACTTTTACAGCAACAACCCCACACAGTATTACTGCAAAGCAAAAACATTTTTTCTTACGTAGGGAAAATGCTTAGCATGGCGTCTTGCAATATAAAATCAAATGTATATTTTTTTTTTTTTTTTTTACTTTAAAATGAAATGAAATATGGCTGGTACGTTGAATTTACAGATAATTTATAAGTTCGGCGGTTATTTGCTATATATATTTATATTACTTTTATTAAATTTTTAACAAAGGATTTGACTTTCTCCAGCTATTCATGTTATTAAAAAAAAGAATTGGCAGCACTATCTCAATAGATCAAAGCAATATGATTGCACATCAGTATTTGCAAACACCCGAAAACCTTTAATAGAAAAATTATTTTCTTTGTACATATTACTTTTTTCTAATATTGACGAAAATGAAGCTAACAGGTGACGAAATGGTTGAAAGGAATGAAAGTCATTGGCGAAAGGTTCGTATCCGTAATCCTAATTTAATGCATTTAAAAATCACTTAATCTATTTGTTTGTGCATATCTATTTGTTCCTACTAGTAATTATTCTTTAATTTGGCAAACTACATAACAAAGTAGTCGTGTCAAAAAGTTAAAGGGGACCATTGCGTTTAGAGCACAGTCTATCGCAGAATTTTAAAAAAAAAATTTCGAATCATGGAATATATTTTTGTGAAATATAACCATCGCTATTGTTTGCAAATAAAAAGCGTTTTTGATCTTATGTATGAAAAGTAGGACAATTTGGTTACTTTACTTTTCTATCGCTTGAAAACACATTTATGCTGAATGTAGTTTTTATTAACCAATAATATTTTTACTAATCTAAAGAAATTTATAAAATTCAATAGAATTTCTATCAATAATTTAGCATCAATCTAACATATATTGAAGTTTTGATTTTTCAATCTTCAAGGCTATGATTGGTCCTCTTCCAGACGATTTTTTGCGGGTTACGAATGTCCAAGGATCTGGTAATAAACGAACGGCTTGTCGTCTACCTATTTCTCAATTTGTAGTAAGATTATTGCACTTTTCCTTACATTATTACTAAAGTTCAGATAAAATTAAAATGTGCATTTTTTCACAATTATAGGCACCTAACCACGTTGGCCGCATAAGTATTACTTGTTCACAAGCTAAACTTGTTCGCAACTATGGAATTACGAGGATGGACCCATATGTGCGCATACGTGTTGGTCACTATGTTTACGAAACCCAAACAGATCCTAACGGTGGCAAAAATCCTCGCTGGAATCGCGTTATTCAAAGCCAACTTCCAGCAGGCGTCAATTCTATTTATGTTGAAGTATATGACGAATGCAATTTTAAGATGGATGAATTAATCGCTTGGTGTGAAATTAAGATACCTGAAAGGGTTTTACTGGGGGAAACTCACGAGCAATGGTATTCTCTAAGCGGAAAGCAAGGTGAAGGGTTAGAAGGAGCCATTGATGTTGTTCTAAGTTTCTGCAATCAACCTATACCATCGTATATGTACCAAGCATTTCAAATGCCATCTCCTTTGCTAATGGTACCATCTGTTAGATCTACACCATTATATGTCACATCTCAACCACCGATACCACCACAAGCAGTACCAACACAAGTGACAGAATCGGAATTACAACAGGTAACATCTTATAAAAATTTCTGATTTAACTAAAAGTGTAGCTAAGTATCATGCAAAGTTTTTTATACGGAACTACAAATATTATGGAGAGTTCCCTAAATTCTTACGTAGAAAGATTTTCCTTCATTGCATACTGTTTGTATACTGCTATTGTCACAATGTGCTGACAATGGCTCATTTAAAAAATCAGGGAAATTTTGTCTTTCCTATTAGGTGAGCACTCAGTAAAGACCATGAATTGGTGAAGCTGAGAGCCAAATATATGTTACGTTTGTTTTTGGACGAAAGCATTTTGGGGTTCTCGGCAAAACTGGGCGCGGAATTGCTGAACACTTCGATGTTGATGTAAATTTTTGCCTTTAAAAGTAACATTGGCATTTACGAATATTATTTATAGCTTATTGAAGTTGATTTCATTTCTGCTGGAATGGAGTGGGCAATGGGTTCTGTCGGCGGTTTTTGCGTGGTTTCTCATGTTATTGTCGAGCATCAACGTTTATCCAACGTTTATCGTTGTACAGAGTCGCAAATTAAATTAACTATTATTATTGCTGGTAAAGTTCGGCACAAATGTTTGAGTCGAAGACATTGTATTGAAAATAGCCGAATTTCGTGATCTTTTCCTACGTAATCACAGTTATTGTGAATAGTTTTTGTTTTTGGATTTAAAAAATGTAATGTAATTATACAAATATATATATATATATATTTTATTCTTAATAGATTAAGGAGATGTTTCCTAATATTGAAGTCGACGTTGTGAAGACAATTTTTGAAGCTAACCGTGGAGACAAAGATGCCACGATAAATTCATTACTTCAATTAAATGAATGATAAAATTATGTGTTTGATGCAAATATTATTATAATAAATGAATCGTCTTTGCTAAAAACGCCGTTTAAGAAACTGCTTACTCGGCTGGTTCTGGTAGTATGAGGACTTTATTTACATTTACTAGGACGTGACGATCACAGCAAACGATGAATAGGACGAGCATGTGATGTAAAAATAAAAAAGGGTTAAGGAAACAAGAAATTTATAAAGGGCTAAAAAAGAGGATTTAAAGAGTAAGTAATATACATATATATGTATAATAAACATATATATATATATATAATAAACATATATATATATATATACACACACACTTATTCACACTTATTACAATTACTAACGTCTAACTCTTAAAAAACTTCTACTTTAATGTCCCTCTACCACATTTTTTAAGTCAGTGACGACATACAATTGACATAGATAGAATTTTGACTTGATATAATTAAGATAGATAGAGACTTTACTTGACACAACTAACATAGATAGAAGCTTTACTTGATGCAATTAACATGTCCAGCATACTGTTGAACGGGGTAGTGAATACGGCAACACGTAATTACCCATTCTTACAATAGAAATAGCTAAGTAGAGTTATATTTTGATAAAATTTAGGGTCTTTATTAAAAATTTTGAAGAAATGCACAGCTTTATATTTGCAATTTTAGTTTTTAAATTACTATTTAATATTTAAGGCAGTGTTTAACTTCTCTACTGCACGATAACTGGAATGTAACTATATTTTTGTTTTTTCCATATGAAAACCATCAAAGAAATTGTTATATACTAATTTACTGGTAACATTGTTAAGATTTCCAGACACTTCAATAAACAATTGTGAAAAAACGTAAGTACAAACGCATATTCTTTTGTTACAACAGTGAGAAGAAAGAAAACTCAAAAAATGTATTAAATTCGCAACAGACCGAAATTCGCAATTTGACCTAGGCATATCCGTCCGTCCGCCTCAACAACATCTATCTAATGTCTGTCGTAGACATTCTTCAAGGCTGGTAATGAAAGAGAGTATAATATCAATTAAAAACTCGTCAACTTACTGCTTTATTTGGCATTTCCACCTGTAGACGATATTTTAGACTTTAGAAGAAGTTAACTTGAAATAAGTAAAATAATACTTTGTGAACTAATTATAAATGTCTTAAATATTAAATGAAAAGGCTCATTTTATAGACACATACACATAGTCGTTCTGGTATAGAAATATATTTATGTTGAAAGCAGGTAGATAGTTAAGGGGCGATTCTTCTTCCATTCCATCAAAACCGTATAAAACATTATTAAATAGTCTTAAACAGGCTTAAACACTTCTAAACACCTTAAAGTAATAGCGGAATTCAACATCAAAACCTTTTTAAACACTATTAAACTGTCTTAAACAGGTTTAAACACTTCTAAACACTCTTAAACACCTCTAAACACTTCAAAATAATAGAGGAATTCAACATAAAAACCTTATTAATCGGATGGCCCAGAATCGGGACCTTGCTTTTTTCGACTTGACTATATTCGAGATTACCTCCTTTATGTCGAATAGTAAATCATGTTTGTTGATGTTTTGTTTGGATCTCTGCACGATGTGGAGGTAATCGTATAACAAGTGTATCTGGTGTCTGCTGCCATCAACTCTTGTCCCACTATAGATTCCGTCTCCGAATTTTTTTAACATACCTTTATTGGACGCATTTCGATCGCAGACGATAGCTCGGACATCGAGGCCAATATCGTCTGCGAGTTGTAAAGTCTCCTCTAGCAGAGTACTTCCGCCCAATGGGTAGGAGAGGCAGCGGGGGTACTAACTCAAAACTATGTTGAATCACATCAGTAGGCTCTGCAAAGTATTTGCTATTTAAGCTTTGCAAAGATGTGCGTATTTTTTGTGTTTATATCATGACCCTATCGCATGTTTTCCGGCCTGGCTCGTCGGATGGGATGGGTAAAAAAAATTGTAATTAGTTTCATGATAATTTATTTGTTACGCTACAAATATTTCATTTTTTTAAAAAAACATGCTTTTAATTTGAAATTTTTTCCCGGATAAATACATTGTTATGCCCTATCAATACTGCTTTTCACTCACCCTTCGGTCACCCCCAGGAAGTCTCACCAGTTACTTAATATTTTTAATAATAACGCATTTTTTCTATTTTTCCAAGAAAAAGAAATAAAAGTAAAAATAACAAAACGAAATTATTTAAGTTAAATTGAATTAAACTAATTTAAAATCTAAAAAAAAGTTTCACAATTCAAGGACATTTATGTTTCTTTTTTCCTTTTTGTTTTTAGAAGAAGTATATCAATTACAATTTATAGAATGTAAAAATTATTTTTAATTAACATCACTTAACAACGGATACTCAGGTGTATAATAGGAAATGTTATTCGCGAATAAAGGAAAATTTAGATTAATTTAATTTAACAAATCAAAAGAAACGTACCAAATCAAACAACCACGTTGATGCGCATCGCCGCAGCTAAATGATTTTTTTATCAGATTATAAATTTTAAAATTTTGGATAATAAGAAAAAATACTAAGAAAAAAATACAAAAAAAATTGTCGCTTATTGAATCGATGAGACATGTAACCGCTTAAAAGATGGACATTTTCAACGCCTTAGGGATGAATGGTAAAAAATTGATCATTAGAGCCACGTAATTATTTCAATTACTAACGTGTGAGTGGACCAACTGCGCAGAATTTGAATTTTTCTGTATTTTCTGCTTTTGAATTATAACTTGCATGTTGTTAGGGCCGAAATTCATAATATAGACTTTTTCACAACATAGTTATATAAATTTTCACTTTTTTGTAGTTTTTTTAGCAAGAAGTTTCTGTTATTTTTCCTTCTTTTTTCTTTTGAAAAAAAATATCAATGAAATGATGGTTCTCTTTATTATTATTATTATTATAATTTTAGACTAATGAAATAAATTCTCAGACTAAAAGAAGACATTGAGCACTAGCAACACAGGCTATCGGCTCTAATTTAAATAAATGTACATTAGATAATGAGCTTAGTAGTATTAATAAAGTAATATATTGAATTGATATTCTGTTCTGAAGCTGATTGTAGAATGTTCAAAGGGATAATCGTCCCAAATGGAATACTTCTTGCCAAGGAATAGTTGAGGCAGTCGCAGAGAATGTGCTTTATAGTAAGAGTTTGTCCACAACAGCAGATTGGGGAAGAAGACTTCTTCAGGATCCATTGGTGAGTTGCAATTGTATGACCAAGGCGAATTCTCGAAAATGTTTGGATCTTGGTTTTCTAAACATTTGTTGGATATAAAGGTGGAGTTAATTGAGGGTTAAGAATAGTGTTGATGATGTAAATTTCCTTCCGCAATTTTCTCTTTAACTTTTTTCCAATGTATCTTTGAAGATCTAACTTTTCCATGACATCATCCATAATTAGAGGAGCAGAGGCAGCATACTTTGCCGCTCGATCAGACTGCTCGTTTTCCAATAAACCGACGTGACTTGGTACCCATAACATTTTAATTTTTCCATCGGGTTTTGCAATTATATTCCTTAATTTGTTGATTGTGCTCCATCTCGAAGTCGAAGGGTTCCGAATAGCTTGTAATGCAGACAAACTGTCGGTAACAATGACGGTTTTGAGTTTGTTTTTATGGGCAAGGTTCGCACCGTGGAAGATAGCTCTAGCTTCGGTTGTGAAAGTTGAAGTACCTTCGTGAAATATGTGATTGAGAAGAACCTGTCCTGTAGCATCTACCACGGCACAAGCAGGAGGCAGACCAGGAGATTTTGAGCCGTCTGTGTACAAAAGATTCCAAACAGTACTCTCCAATACTTGGGTTTTTTCAGCTATTAGATTCCCGAAGACGCAATTTGGAGTATCTTCTTTCTTGTGCATAGACAGCGAGATGTCAAAAGAGCAGTCTTTCAAAATCCGTGGAGGTTTAACACCAAAAGAGCGGAAAATTTCTAAGCGAATGTTCAACTGCTTTGCGACCTACAAACAATAGTCAATTGCAGATGGTGTCTTTGGAATTTTCTTCGCAATAATAATCTTTCTCACGGCATCGCCGAGAATAGATTTGTTTGAATTAAGAAGCTTGGGGTCTGTTTTGGCTTTTAACTCATAAAGTCTATTTTCTAAAATTGGGAGACCAGTTTCAATTATAAATTACTTACGGGCGTGTTCCGAAGAGCGTGACAACTTGCTCTGACGGCTTGGTGCTAAGCCGGTTTAAGAATGTTGATATTAGATTAGCATTTTAGTAAGATAAGTAAGTAAGATTTTTAACCGAAGACAGTGTACTTTCCAATGATTTTTGTTGGAAAACGTGAGCCCGAGAATATGGAGCGTCTGCACGTTTAGTACTGGTAAGTCATTAATATGCATCAGTAGATTTCCTGCATAGCATATCTGCTTTCGACAAATGTACATTTCCTTAGATTTTTATATGGAAATTTTAGTCCCTGACGAGTTTGCCCTTGCGGAGATATCTCGTCCAATAGATTCGAGGATGTTGATTGCCTTCGTGCTATCTTTTTCTTTTGTAAAAATGTATACATCGTTCGCGTAGAGACAATGTTCCACTCTTGGTACACGGCAAAGAATTTTGCTAATTTCGTTGAAGGCAATCTGGAAAAGCGTGACAGAAAGAGGAGATCCTTGTGGAATGCCATTCATTTGCGGAAACGAATCAGAGAGATGATTGTTAATTCTAACTTTAAACCGCCGATGCGACATGAATGATTTGACGTAGTTACAAAATTTGGGTCCAACATTCCCCGCTTGAAACTAACTTGTTGCTTTGTTATCAGGTTCTTGGACTCAAGAAACCAAGATAATCTAGATGCCATAATCTTTTCCAATACCTTTCAGAGGCAAGATAAAAAAAAGATTGGGCGATAATCCGATACGATGGAGACATTTGTAGACTTTGGAATTGGAACAACTGTAGCCAGTTTCCACATGTAGGGTATATGGCCACTCAAAACGGAGAATAAATTGCAGAATTCTTGCTGAGAAAACGATTGCGAAGGTGAGATATATAGCGAACGCACTGTAAATTTTATGTTTAA